CCATTAAAAGTCATATTTTCATCAAAGAACACTTCCCAACAATTCATTAAGGACTTTTTAACCGGTATGCGCTCTCGTGCTGCTACCGACCCACCATTGTTGGTGTCTGTTGTTCGTGATCGTACATTAATGGAACGTCAACAAGTACGTCAGGTTTATGCCGATTTGGAACAGCGTAGGAAGAACGGAGAAAATAATATAATGGTCAGACATTTCAACGGCGTTCCTTCCATTGTCCAGGCAAATAAGGATTTTCAATTRAACCATACTGCTCATCGTCATGTCACCCTTGCAAAAAACTAACCAGCTTGAACCACCCAGGGACCTGTGGTGACGTCAGTCAATCTTCATCATATCTCATCGATCCTCAATGTTTTCATTTGGTACCCCTGGCTTCATGTTATCTTTGTAAATTATCTGTTAATACATCTACTGAATTTTTTGATTTTGTATACCGCTTTAAAAATAATAATCATTTGAATTGTAATCTAAATAGTTTAAACATTTTCTACCAAAATGTCCGTGGGTTAAAAACTAAATTAAGTAATTTTAGAAGTTCTATTCCCCTTTTTATTTGTTATGATGTTATTATCCTCACAGAAACATGGCTCTCTTCTGACGTCCATGACYCTGAACTTGGGCTCATTGGCTATCAAATCTTCAGGGTCGACAGAAATTATCTTAACAGTAACTACTCACGAGGAGGTGGTGTTCTCATTGCAATCAAGTCTTATATTAAAACATCTCTTATCTGTACAAACCTTAACACGCTCGAGCAAGTATATACCCTTCTGTCCATTAATTCATTTAAAATTCTTATAGGTGCAGTTTACTTACCACCTATGTCCGCGCTCCCAGATTTTGAGGCCCATACCAGCTCTATCGAACACTTAATATCAYCTACCAACCCTACATCTATTCTTCTCTGTGGTGACTATAATCTACCTCTTATTAAATGGTCTAAAAGCAACCAAGGTCTTTTCGCATCTGGTACCATGTCTAACACTTCTACTCATCTTGTCGATTCTTTCTCGTACTATAATTTTTACCAGCTCAATCAAGTGCCTAATGCCCGTGGATGCCTTCTTGACCTTGTATTTTCTAGTTTTGAYACACCTACTGTCCAACTTGCCAACACYCCAATCGTTTCTCCGGATTCTTACCACCCACCTTTGTTTRTATCTTTTCCATTTCCAACTCCGATAACTGCTCAAGACACACATAAATACCGTGATTATAAATCGGCTGATTATAAATCCATGCTCCGTTATCTAGGATCGTTTGATTGGGAAAATACTTTTTCGCTTTATTCGGTCGATGATTCTGCTGTTGTCTTTAACGATGCACTTCTAAGCTCTATTAATAAGTTTGTTCCCATCAAAGTTTTTTCACMTTCTAAATTTCCTCAATGGACWTCYACAATTCTMAAAAATCTTATAATAACCAAGAAGAAAGCCCRTGCAGTTTATAAGCGAACCAAGTCGATATCTGAYTATCTTGTTTTCTCTGAATATAGAGCAAAATGTAAACGCCAATCAAAAGTTGATTACTCTGCTCATATTAGGCATACCGAGGAGGCCCTTTCATCTTCCCCCTCCAAATTCTGGAAATTTGTAAATAATCTAAAACAGAAACCTCCAATTCCGTCATCACTCCATCTCGGTAATATTGCCTCAAATACTCCAACTGAATCAGCTAATCTGTTTTCAACTCATTTCTCCTCGACGTTCAACTCCTCGGCTTTCCAACTTCCACCATTTACTGGCTCATCTGAATACTTATCCTATGAACTTCCTTCYGATATAACGTTTACTGTCGACGATRTTTTTTCCGCTCTTAAATCGTTAAAAAATACTTACTCTAATGGTCCAGATGACATATCCGCTCAATGCTTGTACAATTGTCGTTTTTCTATTGCTTATCCAATTTATTTACTATTCAGGCGTTCATTAGATTTAGGTATTTTTCCTAAGGTTTGGAAAATATCTTCTATAGC